TTTTCTCCTTCACAGATGCTGCCAGACCTGCTGAGCTTTTCCAGCAACTTTGTTTTTGTTCCTGATTTACAGCATCCGCAGTTCTTTTGGTTTTTATTGTAGCAAATGATTGCTTTTGGACTGGAGGAAGCTATATAGTGGGAATCCCCAAGGGCCACTGCTTTTCTTGATCTAAATTACTGATATTGTCTTTGGCAGAGCACAATTTCAAAATTTGCAGGTACCATCAAACTGAAAGTAATGTAAACTGCAAGGAGGATAGTGATCAATTTTAAAAGGATATAGAAAAGATTGAAGTAATAGGCAGACATGCAGTAGATGAATTTTAAAGAAGTAAAGCCAATATAAAATAAAAAATATAATTCTAATAGAAGTGCAAAAACAAAGACACTTGTGATACATTTGCAAAAGTTATTGAAGGGAGAAAGGCAGGTTGAGAAAGTGGTTAATAAAGTATATGGGATACTGGGCTTAGAAAATGGAGTACAAAAATGGAGGCATGGAATACAAAATCAAATAAATTACGGGGAACCCTTAATGCATTGGCCTCAGCTGGTGAACTGCATCTAAATCTGGATACCATATTAAATTTCTATTGCCTACACATCATTTTTAAAGATTAAAATGGTTCCAGGAATGAAGGAACTCAAAGTGTGGATAGATTAAGGAGATCATCCTGATCTCCTTCAGAGAAGATTGAGGAAATTGGTACAGGATTTCAACCTCTTGAGGGGTCTGGATGGGAAAAGCTGTTCCCATTGGTGGAATGATTAAGATCCAGAGGATACTGAATTGAGGTGAGTGGCAAAAGAACTAGGAGGAAAATCTTTTTATGCAACAAGTAATAATGTTCTGGATTGCATTGGCTGGGAATGGTGCAAAGACTGACTTAATCATGGTTTTCAAAAGGGAACTGAATAATTATCTGCACAGAAAATAATTAGAAAGGTCACAGGAAAAAGGTGGGAAGTTGAATTAACGGAATTGCTTTTGCAGATAACCAGTATGGATGCAACAGGTCAAATATCCACCTTCTGTGCCTTAATCATTCTATGGATCTAGGTCAGAAAGACAATAACTAGTGTCTCAGTCTCTAAAGGTCCAGCTTTTTATCGTATGTGACCCATTCACTGAATGAATTCCAGATTCCCTACAGCCACGGTGGCTCACCTCAAACTAACTGCAAATGTTACATCCAGCCTATTGATTAAAATGGGTGGGTAAAGTTTCTAAATGCCTCATTGAATGGTTAATGTTGCCTGTGCCAGGATCAGATAGAACCAAAGAATTCAACACGTGCATAAACCCCCTTGTCGCAATCACCCAAATCCAATCCTACTCGAGTTGAGAGAAGTAGGCCCACTATGTAAATGATTATTGGATTTTAAAACAAAGAAACACAGGCAGGGCTAAATTTTACTGCTAATGGACACAGGTGAACACTGAGCACCCATGACATTGCTTGAAAATGACAATAAAATTCTCCTGGTTAACAATCTTTCTTGCACTAACAGCATGAAGAACTAAAACCGATCATTCATTTCATTGCTGTATTATTTTACTGTACAGGTTGAGGTATTCTTGAAACACATGAGAAGATAATGATATAAAGCAAGTATTTCTTCCCAGCTCAATCTGCTGTCTTCTTTCTTTCTCAGTCTGGTTTCATAGAGCGCTTTGCTAGGAAGGAAGAACCTGAACATACTATCTTCCGAGCATGCTGTGGAATGTTACTCCTGCTGGGTGCCATGTCCCTGACTTACTACATTTACAGGAGAAGGTTATGCTGATGGAATTGATCACAGACTTTTTGAGACATTCACCATCAGCCTGTTTCACTTCATTCTCTACACCAAAGTGGATTAACCAATTTTAATTCCTGCTGCCTGGGATGAACTGTTCCTGCAAAATAGACGAGTACTTTCACACAACGTGAACACCAGATAACTTGCACTACTGCATGTATGAGATTCATTAATTGGATAAATTCTGTGCTTAATCATAAGAGGTGATTTGAGTAATTTTGTTTAACCTTTCCGTGCAACTAGTTTGTATGATAACAGTGTCTCTTCTGCATTCAGTATCAAGTCCTATCTTGTCCCAGCATTTCTATATTTTACCAGATTGTGGCGGAGGGGGGCAGTGAAGGAAATTGGAAATGTGACAAATAATATTGACAAAATAAACTGAGTTAGTCCCGCCATCCAGTGGACAAAAGACATCATTACTACTGATTTCTGCTGGAAAATCCACACACCCCTAATATCATTAGGAAAATGCAATTCTTTAACATATTTGCTCTGATTTCCATCCCGTGTCTCGTAGAATCCAAATGGGTTGCTGAAAATTACTCTGCAAAAAACTGAGTCACAAATGCCCAGAAATAGAAACAGAAATTACTGGCAAAACTCAGAAACATCTTGAGTTCAGTGGCTCTTCATCAGAACTCAAAATATTAACTCTGCTTTTGCCCCACGGACCCTGTCAGACCTGCTCTGTTTCACCAGCCATTTCTGTTTTGTTTCAGATTTCCAGCATCTCCGGTTCTTTGTTTTATTTCACAAATACACCGAATGAGTTTCCACTGCATAAAGTAAAACTTGGCATTTACAAAGCTGCCAAATTCTTGAATGCATTGATTGACCCTGGAACCTAGGTGAATGCCAATACGCCTCCTGGGATATGCATCGTGTTGCACCCCAGTGGAAGATGGCTGCACCCATTCACAGCAGTCTGCTGGTACGGTTCCACTGACAATGCAGTCACCTGACAGTAGCCACTGATTCATTTTCATTAACCTTATACAAAACATTCCAGATGCAAAGTGGAAATGGACACAAACAACTAATGGACAGGTAACTCGACTAATTCACTTTAAAATCATTTATCGGTGCCACATTACTGAGTTTACAACTTTTTCATCCAATTTTCAAACTTCCTATCCTGAATATGGCAACTCTTTCCCAGTTCAGGTTTCAGAGATGCCAAGCGGCACCTCCAGTATCACCCTCCCAGTTTCCATTCTTCACACAGAGACCCAGACATTGAGTATTGGGAGAGTTTTTGACTCAAGGGAGAATTAAAACTGAACCCACCAATCCCATCCCTCACCTCACTTTGAGCAGTGATCAGTGATCTCTGGTTACATTTTTCCTTTTCTATCTCTGGATGATTATGGTAAGTGTAGTACCTTTAGCAGTGCTCCCATTGAGATCAATGCATACTGCAAGATCAGACAATCAGACATGGCATCTTCTCATTTTATTATCATAGCCTTCGTCCACAGAGCATGGAGGTGAAGAAAAGGCAAGGGGTGGCCTTTAGCTTTAATAATTAAGACATGCGGGTTGGTCATTTGCTCCACAGAAACATGACCAACTGGGGGTTTGAAATGTTGCTTCAAGGTGAAATGGTCACTCCCCGGCTCAATTACCCATATTTTTAATGTGATAATGAAGCAATGATAGCAGAAAATGTAAGTTTTGAGGTTATGTTCTCAGTTTTCATTTATATATAGCAACAAACACTAATATTGAGAGAAAGGTAGCTTCCCAATGTGATTGCCTGCAACCTTTACCCCTCTCTCCAAGTCTCTACAGTATACAAACAGCCAAATAAACACTAAATGAAAGGAGCTGAAGCTCAGAATCGATCAAGCTGCACCAGGCTGCTAAATCAGTAGGTCTAAGTGCAGGATCTTGGTCTATTCCTCATTCAGCTGCTGTCTTTTTGGTCATCCATGGTTTACGTGTCAGATACTCTTGACCTCTGCTGTGCACTTTGCTGGGTTGGTCTTACTGTGGTTCTGAAGGCTGTGATACCGAGACTGGCTCCTGAGGAATCCTGTAAAATATAATATGTTTCGGTTTAATGACATTTTAATGTGTCAACTGTGGCTCAGTTGGTGGCACACTCACATCTGTGTCAAACGTTCAGGGTTCAACTCCCAGTGGAAGGCAAATTCTAATGCAAAAAAGGGGTTCACTTCACCTGATGAAGGAGCAGCACTCCAAAAGCTTGTGATTTCAAATAAACCTGTTGTACTATAACCTGGTGTCGTGTGACCTCTAACTGTGAATAATCAGAGTCAAACTGCCTGGTTTAAAATTTAAATAAAGCATGGTTGTCAATTGTCAGTCATCATTAACTGGTGTATTCTCCACTGTGACACCTCTAAAAAATAGAATATTCTTGACAAACAACCAACACTTGCCTTTTCTACAGTACAAATGTTGATTTCACCTTGCATTGGTATTCTTGCAAATTGTTCTGTGAGTCTAAGACATAAAGCTTTGGTCAAAATGTGCCCTTTTTCAGCAATATTACTGTGCTCTTAATTATATTTAACAAAGAGATAGATGAATGTCATTACACGAGGAAATGCTAACGGAAAATATAAGTGCAGCATCAACTTTAAAAATAATTAAAATAAATGTCTAAAAGACAGACATGGAATTATATACAGTGAGGAGACATACTGGACTAAATCTTTGCATAGATCTCTCAAAGTTGTAAACAAAATCAGCTTCTTGGCCACAGTGTTTCCTGTTATCAACTTCTGGAAGGGGTTACAACTTTCTAAAATATGGTCTGATCTAGTCACCTCTGGTAGGAAGGAGAAGCTAAGAAACTACTGCCTTACATACTTGTTGTCTGCAGGCTTCCCGCATTTGTCCCACTTGAAGCAAACACAACAGCTCTCCGACCAGTGATAGGACAACGTGGAACACGTCCATCCACTTCCCAATTGTCAGGGTCAAAATCAGGAGCCCACCCATCCTTACTGCCACTGTCTGGTAGACACTCTGCTCAGTTGGATTCTGCTTCTGCTCCTCTGAAAAATGATAAAGAAATCATTTACAACAGCACCTAAATAGAAAGGATTGCACCATCCAACCATTTAACATTAAAAAAATGCTCCAAGGTCATTTACAAATCCAGGAATCTAAAAGGTAGAGATTTAAAAGTCATTACAAGTAGTAAAACAGGTTAACAAAGCCATGTAGACATTCTAACAAAGCACCTAGGTTCAGATCTACAGGAATCAAATTCAAAAGCAGATAATTTTTGTTGTACAGAAATTCCATTGAACTGCACTTACTGTGAGCAGTTCTGGTCTTCCAAAAAAATAATGTTGAAGCACTGGGGAAAGTACAAAAGACAATTTACAACCACAGCTTGCACTTGTATAGCACCGTTAACATAATAAAAGGTCCCAAGGCAGGAGCATTATAAAACTAAATGAGATACCAAGCCATATAAGGAGAAATTAGGGTAGATGACTTTAGTCAAAATGGGTTTTAGGTAATGTCTTAAAGGAGAAAAAATAGTCAACAGGCAGAGAGGTTTTAAAAGGGAATTCTAAGGCCTAAACAGCTGAGGGTATAACCACCAATTGTGGAGCAATTAAAATCAGGAATGCTCAATAGGTCAGAATGAGAGGAGTGCTGATATTTTGAAGGTCGTTGAGTTGGAGACAGAGAGAGGACAAAACTGTGCAGTGATTTGAAAACAAGTTTGAGAATTTTAAAATTGATATGATTTAAAAAGATGGCACTGAAGCTGAGACGTTATATTTATCAGGAAAGCGCGAGCAGGTTGAATTCTTCACTCTAGAAAAGCCAGTCTAGTCAGTTGAGCAAATACTTGATCAAGGCTTTTAGAATTATTAAGGGGTCTGATGTGGTAAATTTACCACTCTGTGGGAAGGGAGAGTGGGTGAATTCAAAATTATAGACCATTGATACAATGTAGTCACTAATCAATCCAATAAATCCAATTCTCTGCAGCTGTAACACTTTATTCTGTTCCATTACCCTGATGTATTTATGTAAGGTATGATTTGTCTGTTTAGCACACAAAACAATACTTTTTAAACTGTATCTCGGTACATGTCATTATAATAAATCAAGTCAAATAAAAAATTAAGGAGATACTCATATGCCCAGAGACTGGTAAGAAGAATGTGGAAGTTTATCCCACGTTAAGTAGCTGAAGTAAATAGCATGGATAGATGCATTTAAGGGGAAGCAAGACAAACAAATGAGGGTGAAAATAGATAGCTATGTTGATAGACTGTGATAAACATGGTTAAATGAGCCTAGTGTATTTCACTCGTGGGGTGAAGGTGTTTCTGTGCTGGCCCAAATTTATTCCCTGTTCCTCGTTGCCCTTGAGAGTGTAGTTGCAAGCTGCCTTCCTGAACCACTGCATGTGCTGTAAGGTAGACCCACTACACTCTTAGGGAGGGAATTCCGGGATTTTGACCCAGCTACACTGAAGGAATGGTGATGTATTTCCAAGTCAGGATGGTGAGGGCTTGGAGGGGAACTTTCAGGTGGTGGTGCTCCCATGTATCTGCTGCCTTTGTCCTTCTAGATGGAAGTGGTTGGGGATTTGGAAGGTGCTGTCAGAGGATCTTTGATGAATTTCTGCAGTGCATCTTGCAGGTAGTACACACTACCTGCTAATGAGTGTCGGTGGTAGAGGGAGTGGATAGTTGTGGATGTGGTGCCAATCATGCGAGTTATTTTCTCTTGTATTCTGTCAAGCTTCTTGAATGTTGTTGGAGCTGCACTCATCCAGGCAAGTGGGGAGTATTCCATCACACTCCTGACTTATACCTCATAGATGGTGGACAGGCTTTGGGGAGTCAGGACGTGAGTTAATCATTGCAGTATTCCTGGCCTCTGACCTACTCTTGTAGCCATTGTGTTTATGTGATAAGTCCTTTTAAGTTTCTGGTCAATGTTGATGTTGGAGGATACAATGGGTGCAACACCATTGAATGTCAAGGGACGGTAGTTAGATTGTCTCTTATTGAAGATGGTCATTGCCTGGCATTTGTGTGGCGTGAATGTTACTTGCCACTTGTCAGCCCAAATACAGATATTGTCCAGAGATAGTAGGAACTGCAGATGCCAGAGAATCTGAGACAACAAGGTGCAGAGCTGGATGAACACAGCAGGCCAAGCAGCATCCTAGGAGCAGGAAGGCTGATGTTTCAGGCCTAGACCTTTCATCAGAAATGGGGGAGGGGAAGGGTGTTCTGAAATAAATAGGGAGAGAGGGGGAGGCAGATAGAAGATGGATAGAGGAGAAGATAGGTGGAGAGGAGAGATCCCCTGAGGTTTGTCCGGAGGGAGGAGGGTAACTTCTTCAGGCTAAGCATCTTAGAAGATGCTTCGCAGTGGGGTTAAAACTGTATCAGAGATAGTAGGAACTGCAGATGCTGGAGAATCTGAGATAACAAGGTGTAGAGCTCGATGAACACAGCAGGCCAAGCAGCATCAGAGGAGCAGGAAGGCTGACGGTTTGGACTGCTTCAATGTCTGAGGACTTGTGAATGTGCTGAACATTGTGCAATCATCAACAAACATCCCCACCTGACTTTATGATAGATGGAAGGTCATTGATAAAGGAGTTGAAGATGGCTTGGCCTAGGACACTACCCTAAGGAACTCCTGCAGAGATGTCCTGGAGCTGAGATGACTGACCTCCAACAACAATAACCATCCTCCTATGTGCTGGATATGACTCCAACCAGTCCCCTGATACTGATTGTTGCATCACAGAGCTCTAGCAAAACTGGAATCAATCAGTTGAATGGAATTAAGCTGTCTTGACCATGTTTGATCGAATGCTGTAATAAAGTCAGGAGCTGAACGGCCCTGACAAAACCCAAACTGGGCAGTTTACTGCTGAGGAGGTGCTGCTTGATAGCACTGTTGATGACACCTTCCATCACTTTATCGATGATTGCGAGTGGACTGATGGGGCAGTAATTGGCTGGGACAGATTTGTCCTGCTTTTTGTGAATAGGACATACCTGGGCAATTTTCCACATTGTCAGGTAGATGCCTGTGTTGTAACTGCATTGGAACAGCTTGGCTAGGGCAGCGGCAAGCTCTGGGGCACAAATCTTAGCACTATTGCCAGAATGTTGTCAGGGCCCATAGCCTTTGCAGTATCCAGTGCCTCTAACCATTTCTTGATATCACATGGAGTGAACTGAATAGGTTGAAGATTGGTATCTGTAATCCTGGGGACTATTGGAGGAGGCTGAGATGGATCATCTACTTGGCACTCTGGCTGAAGGTTACTGCAAATGCTTCAGCCTTATCCTTTACACTGATGTGTTGTGCTCTTCCATCATTAAGGATGGGGATTTTTATGGTGCCTCCTCCTCCAGTGATTCGTTTAATTATCCACCACAAGTCACGACTGGTAGCTTCACTAGATTGACACTTCATTTTCAGGTATGCCTGGTGCTGTTCCTGGCATGCCCTCCTGCATGCTCCACTGAACCAGGGTTGATCCCCTGGCTTGATGATAATGGTTGAGTGAGCGCAATACCAGGTCAAGAGATTGCAAATTGTGCTGGAGTACAATTCAGCTGCTGTTAATGGCTACAGTGCCTCATGAATGCTCAGTGTTGAGTTGTTAAATTTGTTTGAAGTCTGCCCCATTTAGCACAGTGATAGTGCCACAGAAGACAATGGAAGGTATTCTCAAAGTAAAGGCGGGACTTTATCTCCACAAGGATTACAGTGCGGTGTATAAAAACTGCCATTGACCAGTTGGACAAAATGAGCTATCTTTGTATTGTACAATTCTCTGACAATACTACCCAATAGGGATACAGAAACAAAACACTAATCAGGAAGGAAGAAATTAATACATGAAAGCTGGATCAAAAAGTTTTTAAAAGATGGGTATGTTTAGAGAGGATTAACAAAGTGTATCAATGAGGAAACTAAAGGTTCTGCTACCAACAGAAGAAGGGACGGAGGCAGACAGGAAGGATGGGAGGTTAAACAGCAGAGCTATGCATTCAACAAAGGATATATTGCTGGGGCAGCTTAGGGCTCCACCATCTTCTAACAACTTCCTGGTTCTTATCATTTCTCTTCATAGTTGCAAAGAATATCTCCCTTTTGCTGATTATAATTCCTACTGCACTTAGCTCTCTTAGTTTACAATTCCTCCTAAACTTCCACATTTCAAGTTTTCCACAGATTATAGAGAGGCAAGTACACTGAAGGGCTAAATAGCCAGTTAACTAGAATAAAATCAACAAGATTTTGTTTTCAAAGCAGGGAGGTCAAATTGAAGTTTTGACAGAATTACCATGTTTGTCCCATTTCTCCCTTTCCTTTCCCGAGGACACAAGCTCCTTCCCTGTGGCACAAGTTCCACAGCTGTTGGCTACCACACAGTATTCCATTCCAGTGTTACACATGCTCCTCAGCAATAAGTCTTGATAGGATATATTCTTTCATGAGAGTTTCACAGCTGACTTGATCCTACCACACCCCTCATCCACACTGCACAACCTCTGAAAAGGAACACTGGGTACTGATCAGGCTTAGAACCTTGGCGGATTTATCCTCCAACCCTCCCCCACCCCCAACTCCTCTGCAAGATATTTCTTATCAATCTGTTCTGATACGCAATGATACACTTTTGTAGCAGGTGGGACTTGAATCTGGACCTCCTAGTTCAGAGATACAGACATCAGCACTGCATCACAAGAACCTCTCTGATGAAGGGTCTAGGCCCGAAACGTCAGCCTTTCTGCTCCTATGATGCTGCTTGGCCTGCTGTGTTCATCCAGCTCTGCACCTTGTTGTCTCTAACCTCTCTCACATGTTCCTTAATCCTGAGATACCAAAATTCCAACAGCCATCCTTGGCTTAGATCAGTCAACTCAATACAAACGGTGTATAGAACCTGGAACCTTACTGGCGTGTACAGCATGGTATCACACCAGGTAGTCCATTAATTCACTGCAGAGTAAGGATAGATGGCCTTGGCTTCCCCCTTTCACTTCATAGTAATCTACTAGATTGATAACAATTTCCTGTGTCACTATACCACCAATTCTCACCTTGCATGTAAATAACCAGGAGGGTGTAGCAGATGGTCAGGGGAGTCCAAAATCTTATTGCCTCGGATGTGGTGATGAAGTCGCTGTTAATGAGGAAGATGGCTGCCGTATCGGCAACAATGAACACAACCTTCAAGGCATTGCACAGCAGCCTAGGAATCTGATGCCAGGTGGTCAGGAGCAGGATGCACACCCCACAGTACCGCTCTGCACTGTGCAATTCATACATTGTGTTGATGTGCTTTGCCAGTTTCCATACATACCACATGAGGAGGCCAGCGAGGCCAGTACTTAGCGTCAAGCTTAGTGTGGAGTGAGGAGCCCCATCATTCAGGAAGCTCAGGCTGGTCGTCATCCCACATCCCACAGAGAACTGGCACAATAGGAAGATCTGTGTCCTGAAGGTTCCCTGAAAGCCAGTTTAAAAGTTCAGTCTTACACTTATATTTAGTTGTGTTCAAATTAATAACAAATTAACTTTATAGACAAGAAAACAGTTGCCTGTCCCTTTGTACCCCTATTACCTCTGGTCACAACTTGTCCATTTACACACTCATGCTCTGTACCTGTTGCTTACAATGAATTATCAGTGATGTTCCAGATTTTCTGAGATAACAAGGTGCAGGGCTGGATGAACACAGCAGGCCAAGCAGCATCACAGGAGCAGGAAGGCTGACGTTTCGGGTCTAGACCCTTCTTCAGAAATGGGGGAGGGGAAGGGGATTCTGAAATAAATAGGGAGAGAGGGGGAGGCAGATAGAAGATGGATAAAGGAGAAGATAGGTGGAGAGGAAACAGACAGGTCGAAGAGGCGGGGGTGGAGCCACTAAAGGTGAGTGTAGGTGGGGAGTTAGGGAGGGGATAGGTCGGTCCAGGGAAGATGGACAGATCAAAGAGGTGGGATGAGGCTAGTAGGTAGGAGATGGGGGTGGGGCTTGAGGTGGGAGGAGTGGATAGGTGGGAAGAAGGACAGGTTAGGGGGGCGGGGACGAGCTGGACTGGTTTTGGGGTGCGGTTGGGGGATGGGAGATTTTGAAGCTTGTGAAGTCCACATTGATACTCTTGGGCTGCAGGGTTCCCAAATGAAATATGAGATGCTGTTCCTGCAACCTTCGGGTAGCATTGTTGTGGCACTGCAGGAGGCCCAGGATGGACATGTCGTCCAAGGAGTGGGAGGGGGAGTTGACATGGTTTGCGACTGGGAGGTGCAGTTGTTTGTCGTGAACCGAGCGTAGGTGTTCCGCAAAGCGGTCCCCGAACCTCCGCTTGGTTTCCCCGATGTAGAGGAGGCCACATCGGGAACAGTGGATGCAGTATACCACATTGGCAGATGTGCAGGTGAACATCTGTTTGATGTGGAAGGTCTTCTTGGGGCCTGGGATGGGGGTGAGGGGGGAGGTGTAGGGGCAGGTGTAGCACTTCCTACGGTTGCAGGGAAAAGTACCGGGGGTGGTGGGGCTGGTGAGGAGTGTGGAGCGGATAAGGGAAGTCACGGAGAGAGTGGTCCCTCCGGAAGGCAGATAAGGGTGGGGAGGGAAAAATGTCTTTGGTAGTGGGGTCAGATTGCAGATGGCGGAAGTGCCGCAGGATGACGCGTTGGATCTGGAGTTTCGTGGGGTAGTACGTGAGGACGAGGGGGATTCTGTTTTGGTTGTTAGTGCGGGGAGGGGGTGTGAGGGATGAGTTGCGGAAAATGCGAGAGGCACGGTCGAGGGCGTTTTCGACCACTGTGGAGGGAAAGATGCGGTCCTTGAAAAACGAGGACATCTGGGATGTCCGGGAGTGGAATGCCTCATCTCGGGAGCAGATGTGGCGGAGGCAAAGGAATTGGGAACAGGGAATCGCATTTTTGCAGGAAGGTGGGTGAGAGGAGGTGTATTCTAGGTAGCTGTGGGAGTCGGTAGGCTTGAAATGGATATCGGTTTCCAGGCGATTGCCAGAGATGGAAACAGAGAGGTTCAGGAAGGAGAGTTAGGTATCGGAGATGGTCCAGGTGAATTTAAGGTTGGGGTGGAAGGTGTTAGTAAAGTGGATGAGCTGTTCGAGCTCCTCGTGGGAGCACAAGGTGGCGCCGATACAGTCATCGATGTAACGGATGAAGAAGTGGGGTTTAGGGCCAGTGTAGGTACGAAGAGGGATTGTTCCATGTATCCTACAAAGAGGCAGGCATAGCTTGGGCCCATGCGGGTACCCATGGCCACCCCCTTTGTCTGTAGGGAGTGGGAGGAATTGAAAGAGAAGATGTTAAGGGTGAGGACGAGTTCAGCTAAGCGGATGAGGGTGTCAGTGGAGGGGGACTGGTTGGGCCTGCGGGACAGGAAGAAGCGGAGGGCTTTTAGGCCATCTGCATGGGGAATGCAAGTGTATAGGGACTGGATGTCCATGGTAAAGATGAGGTGTTGGGAACCAGGGAATCGGAAGTTTTGGAAGAGGTGGAGGGCGTGAGTGGTGTCATGGACGTAGATGGGGAGTTCCTGGACCAAGTGGGAGAAAATGGAGTCAAGATAAGTGGAGATAAGTTCGGTGGGGCAGGAGCAGGCAGAGACAATGGGTTGACCAGGGCAGTCAGGTTTGTGGATTTTGGGAAGGAGATAGAAACGGGCGGTGCGGGGTTGGGGAACAATGAGGTTGGAGGCGTGGGTAAGAGGTCACCTGAAGAAGTGATGAGGTTGTGAATGGTCTGGGAGATGATGTTTTGGTGGTTGGGGGTGGGGTCATGATCAAGGGGGTGGTAGGAGGAGGTGTCAGAGAGCTGGCGATGTAGAGGTCAGTGCGCCATACTACAACTGCGCCTCCCTTGTCCGCGGGTTTTATAGTGAGGTTGGGATTGGAGCGGAGGGAGTGGAGGGCTGCACATTCAGTGGGGGAAGAGGTTGGAGTGGGTGTGGTGGGTGGAAAGGTTGAGGCGATTGATGTCTCGACATCAGTTGGAGATGAAGAGGTCGAGGGAGGGTAGGAGGCCTTGGGGTGGTGTCCAGGAGGAGGGGGTGTGTTGGAGGCGGGAGAAGGGGTCAGTAGAGGGAGGGTTAGGCTCACGTTTAAAGAAGTAAACACGGAGGCGGCAGAAAAACTGTTCAACATCCAAGTGTGAGCGGTATTCGTTGATGTGCGGGTGGAGGGGGATAAAGGTGAGTCCTTAACTGAGGACTGACCATTCGTCCTCAGTAAGGGGGAGGTCTGGGGGGGGATGGTGAAGACCCGGCAGGGTTGGGCTTCTGTTTAATTTTCAGTTATTAATTGTTTCAAGGACTTAAAAGCCCATCTCCTTCAGCTCTTTCCTTGTAACTCAGTTCTTAGATTGTACTCTTGCAATTTTCATGTCTGCAGTAACTCTCAGCTTTTGACTCTGACACTGACCAAACAGCCCAGCTGATAAGTGCACTAAGCTGCATAGCAAGATTCCAAGTCTGATGATTGCTCTGCATTACATGGTTTGGCTAACGACAGCAGGGGTTACAACTGATCTAGGCACATCTGGAATTGTGAAAGGTAAAAATCAGGGTTCCTGCTTCTGACTGGTATCCAGAGACCCCCGTGTGCAAGACTCCGACATACTGACCCCAGATAGGGACAGGAACAGCTGAGCCCCACTTCTAGCAGGGAATAGTCCACTCACACTCACCCTCAGGTCTCACACACGACGAGCAGCCATTTGAATGAGTACTTGGATGGCAATAGAAATCTGGTACAGTTCCTCAACAAGAGGCAGGAAAGGAGGAGAGAAAAATTGCAAGTGAGGAAAGAACACCTGAAAATAAGAATCTAAGTGGGGGATTTGCTCAGGTGAATGTAGTGTCTGTTGAAGAGAGACTACTCCAGCAAGAGAGGGAATTTGAGTCTGGTGGGATGGTTAATGTTTAAAACTTAAAACACTGTAGAGTTCCTGTGAGATCCTGCAACTAATGGTTCTAAGAGTAGAAAGAGTCACACAAAAATGGCACATGAGGCATGAGTAACAACCAATATGTACTTAGCCTACAATTCACCACTAGTTCTTATCTCCCAGTATTGGAATCTCCTTCAGTTACATCAGTATCATTGTGACTGATTACCTAATGTGACCTTTGAATCCTATAATCTGGATGGGCAGGGATCTTGTGAATATTACTCACTGGCTCTGTGCGTCACCCCGTGGAACATAATAAAACCAAAGAAACTTACATCTTTGTTGGAAAGCAGTGTAGAAATGATTCGAAGGGAGAATTCAAGTACCATCAGAGAAGATACTCTGTATCCCACAACAGAGAACAGGATGGTCAGGATGCAAAAATATAGAGAATCCAGAATTTGTCGCCGGGAATTCAATTTTGCAGCTCTGACCCCAGCTCGGGTAGGTTCACTGAAACAATAAAATGGCAGATTTTCCTCATCACTGATTCAAGCTTTTTGTTTTCCTCCTACACTCTTCACTGTCTTCACTACAGGAGCCTAGAGAGTTTGTGCTTTGTCTACACTCCGAGCAGTTGCTGGCAGGACCAGAGGATGGCTCTGGGATGACTGATTTCCATTGTGCTTTCTCATCAGGGTGGGATGAAATCTCATTCTCAACACTCCCTGTTTCCTCTCCTCTGTTTCCAACGATTTCTCAGGATGAAAACGGGGAAAATCTCAATGCCTTTTTAATTGCTATTTGAATATTTTCTGCCAGTCTATAAATAAGAAGCAGCAAACAATTACCGCAGAACACAACTGTCTTATGGGTTCTCTTTCAGGGATAACTCAAAACGCTTTACACACAATTAATTATTTTTTGTTGGCTGTATTGCATATAGGAAGATCCACTAAAATCAATAATATGAATTAAATTTTTTACTTATTTTCCCTGGTTTTATATAAGGAATGTTAGCCAGGAAGCTGGAATAATTCCTCATTCTTGTTTGAATACTGCCATGTGTTCATAAACAGCCACGAAAGGCATCAAGGCAAGGCACTAGTTTAACATCTCATCTGAACAAGGATGGCTTTAGAGCAACTGATCATCAAAGCAATAATAGAACAGGAGTGGAGGTAGGGTGTAAAATGTTGTATGTTGATTTGCTGTTAGTTATGAATCATTCAGGATCAAAGATCAGACTGACAATCAAACACGTCAACTGCAGCTCTGAAGCCAATGCTAATGGAAGAGAGATAAAACTGAGTGCATATACAAAGGAGGATCTCATACTTGCTGAAGATGTTACTAAAAGGCAGCATGTAGACGATGATTAGGAAGAATAAAGTCTTAGAAGTGGCTTTATGGGATAAGAAAAGAAACTGCTGAGGAAATATATAGTGACTGAGAGAGAAATTTATTACAAATGTAGGGAGCTTCAGTTGTACAGGGTATTAGTGAGATCACACTTGGTGTACTGTATACAGTATTGATGTCCTTATATAAGGAAAGATGGAAATGCTTTGAAAGCAGTTCAGAAGAGGTTTACTATACCAAAACAGAGAATGGGTGGACTGTTTTTTAAGGAAAGGTTGGACAGGCTAGGCTTGTATCTAGTGGAGATTAGATGAGTAAAAGGAAACTTGATTCAAATATACAAGATCCTGAGGGGCCTTGACACTGTAGATGTAGAAAGGATGTTTTCTCTTCTGTGAGCATCTAGAACTTTGGGTCATGTTTAAAAATAAGATTTAAGCCATTTAAGACTGAGATATGATGATTTTGTTTTGACAGAGGGTTGAAAGTCTTTGGAACTCTCTTCCTCAAAAGGTGGTGGAAGCAGAGTCTTTGACTAATTTTAAGGCAGACGTAGGTAGATTCATGATAAGGAAGAGAGTGAAAGGTTATCAGGGTAGATGGGAACATGGAATAATCTGACCAACCATGATCTTAGTAAATGACAGAGCAGGTTTTAGGGGCTTATTCCTGCTCCTAGTTCATGTGTTCAACTGTGTTAAGAAATGGAGCCGTAGTATTAAGGTGTCTGGGGAATACATTCAAAGGCTACATAGAAAATAAAGGAGGAACAGTAAGCTGTAAACTGGATGGGAAGCACTCACAGACTTCTTTGTTTCCAAAGCTGAAGTCAATTTCTCAGTCACAAAGATACCTCTCTGTTCAAAGTTAACAATTACATCACGTGACCGATTACCCAGTATTTAGTCCACAACAAACTATAGTTATATCGTGCCGCTAATGTTGTAAAATGTTATTTTACAGGTGATTGCTTCAAGAAATTGACACCGATCCAATAAAGGAGACATGAGGATAGGTGGCCAAAAACTTGATCAAAGAAAGAGGTTTTACGGAGTGTCCTACAGGAAGAGGGAGAATTAAAGAGGTTTGGTAGGGCAGGGGTTGGCATATTCCAGAATTCAGGATTAGTCAGCTGAAGGCAGAGCTGCCAACAGTGGGACAAAGGTAGGTGGGTCACACAAATAGCCAGAGTTGGAGGAATGCAGAATTAATGAAGTATTGCAGGAGGATACAGAGTTAATCAGGAACAAAGGTCAAGATGTAACCTTAACACAAAGATGAGAATTTTAAATTTGAGATGTTGGAACACTAGGATCTCTTGCAGCTCAGTGACCTTTGGAATGATCAGTTTACAGGACTTGGTGCGAGGAAGGATACAGCCAGAGTTTTGGATAGCCTTAAGTTTATAGAAAGAGGGTGATAGTGGTCAGCTAAGACAGCACTGTATGCAACTAATAACCATCACATACGCTGGGTAAAAGAATAAATTCTTCTTCTACTTTCTCTGCATTCTACAGTAAGAACTGCCACATATCACCTTAGACATTAAAATTCTAAAGCAGAGTTTGAAATAGGTTTGGGTTTGAATTCCTCAGTATGTGGAAGTAGTGTACCAAATGGATTTTGGAACATTTAAATAATCTGTCTTCATTCAAGCTAAGAATAGTTAGTTCTGATTCTCAAAAAGCAGAAACAGGAACTACTGTGTCTGTTTATCACATGATGAGTGAAACACTTGAAACGGGGGAAAAAAAAAACAGACGTACATTATTCTAAATTTTGTACAATGGGCCTGACCCATGAAGCCAAGTATGGAACATGTCTAATATCATGGCAGTTACTTGACAATGTCTATTAAAGTGTGCAATGTATCAGAGTGCTGCAACAAGGGTGCAGGGTCAATCAAAGACTATCATATTGAAGAATGTGAGCATTTTGGAGACAGTACCAACTGTAATTCTGAGATATATCTGAAACTGCTACAATGAGGAGTGTGACAATATAACTGACAACTACAATAAAGGAATGTATGGCATATCTGGAAATGTTGAATTGAAGGTTTGGGGTTTTGTAAAGTATGCTACAATGAAACGCGCAGTATTAAGGCTGAATTAGACAGATTTATGGACTGAAAACAAAAAATGCTGGCAATCACAGTGGGTCAGGCAGCATCCATGGAGAGAGAGCAAACTAACATGGAGTCTAAATGAGTCTTCGTCAGAGCTGGAGTGAAGTGTGGAGGGGGCTGCATTTATGCAATAGGCAGGGGTGGTGGGGGTGTTGGAATGCTGGGGGAGAAAGGATGTTGGCAGTTCAGATTAAGTGATCGGAATGTGAGAATGGTGTGTCTAACTGCCAGACTGGAAAGAACAAACAGTCCCACTGGAGTGAGGGGAGGAAAGAGAGGACATGGTGACAGAGAGTGCAGCAAAGCTAAAAGAAAGGGAATCAATGCATTCACAAATTGAACATGTTGAACTCAATTTGGAGCCCAGAAGGTTGTAAAAATGTTTGGATTGACAAGGAAAACAAGGATAATGGGGGACAGGCAGGAAAGCTGGGTTAGGGCCAAATCAGATCAGCCATGATCTTATTGCCTGGTGCAGCATACTGGAGAGGGGCTAAAAACCTTACTTCGGCTCTTAATTCATCCAATCTCAGAGTTACAAGATAATAATGGATGAGAAAAGAGTCAACCGCTTTAACTTGAACTGGGCAATCAGTATTGCACGTCAGAGTGTTGCCACACGTTTCTGACTGCAGTAACTCCTTCACACTGCTCCATGAACTGTGTTTCAGATGGTGTGGATGTCAAAGTTATAGTGAGGTAGACAGGATCTGCCAGACGGTGCTATTAGCTGGCGGTTACATAGAGGTGAGGAATGGGTTGTGAAGGGTTTTATTAAGGGGGTGAATGAACTAGTTAGTGTTACCACGAGAGATGCATTGTTTTAATAGCCATATTTAACATCAAAACATGAACAGATGCAATGAGGCCTTTGCTTACAAATATTGCTCTAGATATGCTGCCAAAATAACAGTGAGTTTAGATGTGAATGCTGCTTTTAACATAAAAAAAAATCACTCAGCAACTTATGCCAAGGGAGATTTATCAATTCTGATGGATAACCTACACAACTCTGCTGTTAGCCTCACAAAACCTGAGGTTCACTCTCAACCTCTCTTGTTAATTTTATGAAATGTGCCAGATTTGCATACTGGACTTGAATTGAAACTTGAAAAGGTATTTAGCAGTCGACATTTTTAATCAAATTGCTCAGAGTTGGCTAACGTGGTGCCACTATTTAAGAAAGGTGGTAAGGAAAAGCCAGGAAACTACAGACCTGTCAGCCTGACATCGGTGTGGCGCACAAGTTGTTGGAGGGAATCCTGAAGAACAGGATTTACATGTGTTTCAAAAGGCAAGGACTGATTAGGGATAGTCAACGTGGCTTTATATGTGGGAAATCGTGTCCCACTAACTTGACTGAGTTTTTTGAAGTAGTAACGAAGAGGATTGATGAGGGCAAAGCAGCAAATGTGATCTATATGGACTTCAGTAAGGCATTCAACAAGGTTCCTCAGGGTAGACTGGTTAGCAAGGTTAGATCACATGGAATACAGGGAGAACGAGCCATTTGGATACAGAACTGGCTCAAAGGTGGAAGACAGAGGGTGGTGATGGAGGGTTGCTTTTCAGACTGGAGGCCTGTGACCAGCGGTGTGCCAGAAGGATCAGTGCTGGGTCCACTGCTTTTTGTCATTTATAGAAAGGATTTGGATGTAAACATAGGAGGTATGGTTAGTTAGTTTGCAGATGACACCAAAATTGGAAGTGTAGTGGAGAGTGAAGGAGGTTACCTCAGAATACAATGAGATCCTGATCAGATGGGCCAATGGGCCAAGGAATGGCAGACCGAGTTTAATTTAAATAAATATGAGGTGCTGCATTTTTGGAAGGCAAATCAGGGCAGGACTTATACACTTAATAGTAAGGTCCTGGAGAGTGCTACTGAACAAAGAGACTTTGGAGTGCAGCTTCACAGTTCCTTGAAAGTGGAATCCCATGGAAAACAGGATAGTGAAGAAGGCTTTTGGAATGCTTGCATTTATTGGTCAGAGCATTGAGTTTGGGAGTTGGGAGGTCATGTTGTAGCTGTACAGGAGATTGGTTTGGCCACTTTTGGAATACAGCGTACAATTCTGGTCGCGTTTGGATAGGAAGGCTATTGTGAGACTTGAAAGCGTTCAGAAAATATTTACAAGGATGTTGCCAAGGTTGGAGGTATTGAGCTATACGGAGAGGCTGAATAGGCTGGGGCTTTTATCCCTGGAGTGTTGGAGGCTGAGGGGTGATCTTATAGAGGTTTATAAAATCATGAGGAGCATGGATAGGGTGAATAGACAAGGTCTTTTCCCTGGGGTGGGGGAATCCAAAACTAGAGGACATAGGTTTAAGGTTAGAAGGGAAAGATTTAAAAAAGATTTAAAAGGGGCAACTTTTTCACACAGTGGGTGGTGTGTGTATGGAACGAGCTGCCAGAGGAAGTGGTGGAAGCTGGTACAACTACAACATTTAAAAGGCGTCTGGACAGATATATGAACGGGAAGGGTTTAAGAGGGATATGGGCCAATTGCTGGCAAACGGGACTGGATTTATTTAGGATATCTGGTCGACATGGATGAGTTGGACCAGACGGTCTGTTTCCGTGCTGTACACCTCTATGACTCTATGTCACAACAGACCACTGGAGCAGCCCAGCCTTATGTCTCGGAGGTACCACTAGGGCCCTTTAAAATCTGAAAAAGGGGTTTCAGGATGATATTTGCAATGACCTGATTGTTATTTTCATCAACCTGTTCAGACATGCTGTGGCACACCTCTATGGGACTTGAATCCAGACCTTAAGCCACAGAGGTACAGACTGTACCACTGCACCACAAGACCCCAGCCATCCTTTTTAACAATTCTAAAATTGCAAACAATCTATTTTTTATTACAAAAATATACTTTATTCACAAAAAAACTTTGATCTGCATTCACAGGTGCTAGAACAGTTCTGTACAGTCTTTGTGACTCTCTATCCCAGAGAGGTAGCTATTTAAAATCTTCAGGTTCATTCCCCTCGCACTAGCCTGTGGCCTCTCTCTGTGTAACCATCTCAAGGTGATTTGGGATTTGACACGAACTCATCAGCAGACTGAATAAAAGCCGACAGAAAGTCTTTCTCGGAGAATCGACAGAACCATGCTCACGAAAGGGGAAATAAAAACAAAGAAACTTACTTCAAGCCCTGGATGTGGAGGTGAATCCGCAGCAAACGGTTGAGGATAGAGACAGTACATGCCGCGATCACACCTGGGAACAGAAAGCGGGGTTAGAATGAAACAGAATCTCATTGAGACCTTGTTCAGCTTACAGCCCAATGCTCCTCCTCACCCTGCAGCAGGCTGTCGATGGATTTTGAAGTCAGGGAAATCCACCCGAAGTTTGGAATGCACCATCGCAGAAAGCGCCACATTTCCAAGCTCCACGCTGCTCTGTTGATCTCAGGTTCAGGGTCGAAAGTCCAGGCTCCGCCTGCTTAATGCAATACCATCTGCTGGTGGCTTCCGACGGCTGCCCGAGCAGAAACTGAACCTCGCAAATAGCCCTAGCGGCTCACTACAAACATACAAATATAACCCCCTCCGGCAAACAGCAAATATACCATCCAGAAACTTAAAATACCTCATTCGCAGTCTGCAAATTCAAAAATAAACCCCAAAATCTGAAATACCTATAAAAAAAACTCTCAAAAAACCTACAAATACCACTCAAATAGGAAAATATTCCCAAATATTGCAAATTATTTCTGAATCCTACACGAAGCAATGCAAATAGCTCATTAATGCTGTACATAACCAATAACTCAGAATATTCCTAAATGCCCTAGGTTTCCCTACTTCCCACCAATATCTTCCATATCATTTATACCTCCAAGCCCTCTCTTAATGTTGCCCAAAATCTTCAGCCATTATATTCAAAACTCCAAAAGAATCCAATAAGTCCAACTGTCTGCAAGTTCCCAGTAATATTATTAAGCCATCTCAAATACCAACATCAACCACAATTGCCATCCAATTTCCTGAAGTCGCCATTCAATCACTCCACAAACTGATGCTAACAAACGATCATTCAACACTTCCCTTTCCCATTCTCCCTAGCCTGGAATCCCTTGCATCCTTCTTTTAGTCAACCTTTGACCATTACGGATGAATGGTCAGGATGCAGGCAAATGTTTGGTCAGCCTGTCAACAATCTTAGGTTCCATGTGATCACAAGGGTAAGTTACATTGGGGCACTCAGGAGTCCTGGGGTATTCCCTAGAAATCACTTCAGGACAGAGAGAAAGAAACCCCTCATTCTCTAGATTCATATGGGTCAAGATTATAATCGGTGACATGTGAGAGAAATGGCCAAACAAAGAAGCTTGAGACTGCCCTCTATTTGGGCCACAAACTTCAACCCTATCTTCAGGATGAACTGGATGATTGTGCTCTGTGAAAATAAATGGTAGAAGAAAAACAAAATATAGAGTCATAAAGTCATACAGCACAGAAACAGACCCTTTGGTGCAACCAGTCCATGCCGACCAAGTTTACCAAACTAAACTATAGTTATAAATAAAACTTCATCAACATGCCAAGGAGTCAGGGTGTCGAGGTCAGGTGGTAGGGGCCTTCTTTTGTATTTCCATGGTACCTTTTGTGACTTTAGACATTCCAAAGTGCCAAGTGAATTCAGCAAGCAAGAGATTGTTAAACGAGGCATCAGAAAGAATTTCCCCACTGTATTTCCATTAACAAAACAGCAATTTGTGCTTTTATATGCAGTACTACCACTCGTGGTAAAACACCCCAAACTCTTCACGGAAGTGAAGCATAATTTGATACTGAACCACATAAAAATTATTAGGATAGATAGGCAAAAACTTTGTCAAAGAGATAGTTTCAAAAGTGCACCTTAAAAGATTAGATGGTGGTAAGAAAGGCAAAGGGCTTAAGGAGGGAATTCTAGAGTTTAGGCACCTGAAGGTATTGCTGACAATGGTGGAGCAAAGAAAATTGAGATGTGCAAGAAACCATGGGAGATTTTTACTACCTGAGACAGAATCTTAGTTTAAAATCTTATTTGGGCACACACAGTATAAATAAATGATATGGTCTTTTGGTACAGATACAAACCTGTTTAAAATTTAGTTAATCGCAAATTGAGTGGGAGTGCTTTAAACAAAGGGGACATAAAGAACAGATCAGAAAGGATCCAAATTTAATGTTAGGAAATGGACTGCTGAATGTCCAATGCCATTCAATATAGAAAAATGCAAAACCATAAGACCAGTGGAATGAAATAAACAGCAGGAATATAAAATAAACCCGGGGAGGGAATCGTGGATGTTAATAGGTAGCTCACTGAAACCAGTAGAGCACCATATAACTAAATGGATCATAGGCCATGTAGCCAAAGAGCTCAAGCAAAATCACATTCGATGATTATGTAGAAGTTGCTGGTCTAGTCACCCCTGGACATATGTGTACAATTCTCAGTGTGGTACTATAGTAAGCAAATCCAAGACCTGGGTTACAGTGCAAAGTGGGAAAGCAATCTGATATTAGGTTTAAGGCAACTGGGCTTCCTGGGTTAGGTTTAAGAGCCTGGGGTTTTGAGCAAGAGAAGGCTGATGGGAGATATTATTCAAGAGCTTAAGGAAGTGGATAAATTGTTTGGGATTGTCAGGACAAAGGCTTAACTTAGAAGAGGTTAAGCACAGAAATAGGTTACATTTAACTACTTTATGCAAAGGTTGGTGAATGTGTGGGATGAACTTGTGAGGAGTCAGAAGTGGATATTTAAGAGAATAGGGAATGGCACGATCCTTGTTTTTTGGAACAGTCCATGGGGTTTTCCCGGTTCTCACTTTGTTTCATTTCATTTTACATCATTTAATTTTAAATGAACTTGATTGAATATAAAAACAGAAAGTGTTGGAGAAACTCAGCAGGTCTGACAACATCTGTGGAGAGAAAAACAGAGTTAACATTTCAAGTCAAACATGTCTTATGAAGAGCGATTAAGCAGTTTAGGCCTATACTTTGTAGAGTTTAGAAGAATGGTAGGAGATCTAATTGAAGTATATAAGATGCTAAATGGGAATTGACAAAGTAGATGTAGGGAGGATTTTCTTCATGTGGGTCCATCTAGAATGAGAGGTCATGGTTTTAGGATAAGGAGTAGCTGATTTAAAACAGAGATGAGGAGCAGGCTCCAAGGGCTGAATTGCATACTCCTGCTCCTAGTTCTTATGTTCTTCATAAAACAGGACCGCTTGATTGTTTTTACACATACAGTATAAATAAATGATATGGTAAATTACATCTGTTCCAAAGAAGAATCATGTTGGACTCAAAACATTAACACTGGTTCTTTCTCCACAAAAGCTGCCAGACCTACTGAATTTTTTCCAACACTTCCTGTTTTTATTTTAGATTTCTAGTACCTTCAGTACTTTTATTTGATTGAATCTTTTGCCTGTTTAAATCTAGTTATTTTTAAAATATGATTTTCATCCACGATTTATACAGAGTGTATTTGTTTCAATGCATTGTGAACGTCGATCAGTGGGATACGTGACTGCACTAGAGCACAATATCTGCCTTCCTTCTCAATTGTACAATCCACGACTGCATATGTGCGTGCCAGTGTAGCCAATACTGTTTTTCCTGGGCTCCCGTCCATCGGCCATTTGTCCATCACCTATATTAACTGGCCATCAGCATCTAATATTCTCTGTATTTTAAATCCTGCAACATCTTTCCTGTAATTTAACTTTTGCCCTTCTAAAAATCCTTGTAGTTTGGCACCTTGCCTTTCTTCTCTGCATCCTCACCAACAGAGGCTTAAGTAGAAGTCAGAAGTGTAAATTTGTACACACTGTCAAAATATTCTTTTGACAATGGGCCACAGCACAATTTCTTTTAACTTGTGACCAATAACACAGTACCATATTAATTAATATTTGATTGCCTTCATTGATGACATATTCTCATCTTTCCTATGTCTGTCAGCAGCTATAAGCCTATCATTTTCTATTCGTGCCAATGGACACCTTTTCATGTTGTTGCCAATCTGCTCTATGGTTTCTTGGAGCAGTGGGCACTACATGCTACAAAAACAGAAGTTGCTGGAAAAGCTCAGCAAATCTGGCAACATCTGTGAAGAAAAATCAGAGTTAATGCTTTGGGTCCGGTACCCTTTTCAGAACTGATGGTAGCTAGGAAAATGTTGGTTTATATACAGAAGATAGCGTGGGAGGAGGGGGTAAGGAGTAAACAAAAGGTGGGGATGGAGCCCAAAGGAAGAGAAGAGCAGTTGGCTAGACAAAGGAGTTGGTAATGATCTGGCTAGGAGGGTGAATAGCTGTTAATGGGGACTGTTAGTGACTAACAATAGGCATTACATGCTATTTTGATTTACAACAATTCCAATTTTTAAATTTGATTTTACTAGGTACTTTGTTAAAAAAAACAGTTTGCCTGCCTTTCTTGAAACATTATTTCCATTTTATGGAGTGGTACCAATAACAATGTTGACAGATCAGACTGTGGGAATGTGGGGTTATGAATCTTTACACAGTAAAAGTGGGGATAGGCAGAACACAGGGCAAACCTAGAAGATTTTTAAATGAAGAGAAGTGGAAATTGAACTTTTGTTGTAGTTGCTGAGTTATATGTGTTAATGGTTATTTCAAAATATATTCTGTTCTATGTACAATACTGTCTTTAAGTTTTGTTTGGAAGAAGTTGAGGATCTTGCTTTTAGGTTCTACATATCTTACTTAATGGTCAATAAAAACTGAAAGAACTGTAGATGCTGTAAATCAGGAACAAAAACAGAAGTTGCTGGAAAAGCTCAGCAGCATCTATGAAGAAAAAAATCAGAGTTAACATTTTGGGTCCAGTGACCCTTTCTCAGAACCCAACATATAATGGTCATTCTGTTTCCTGTTCTAATACTTTTAGTCTTTCATGTACATCCACATTAAAACCACCTAATACAACCATCACTTTTACACCTTCACTTTGTTTCATTGGTTCCCATCTCAATGGACTGATTTACAAGTTCTGTTCCCCTGCATGGCATTGGTAGAACCAGGTTATCTCCTGACCCAGACTTATCAACTAACGTGGTTGGAGAAGAATGATCCATATTTGAACTCCCAAATTGACCTGGTGTTTTGCATCTGTCTCTCACAGGAGATCACATGGCTTTCAAGTCTAAAGTCGAGTCCATACATTGGGATGAACATGGCAATGCATTTATGTGGGACATTACTGGATAAAAGAGACTTGCTGTTGAAACATTTCATCAAGCAGAATTTACTTAGAAATAACTTGACATTCAGTTTGGGTTTTGCCAGGGCTACTCAGCTCCTGACATCTTTACAGTCTTAATTCAATCACGAACAAAAGAGTTAAACTCCACAGCTGGGGTGGTAGACTGCCCTTGACCTCAAGGATACGTTTGATCAAGTTTGGCATTAAAGAACCCTAACAAAATTGGACTCAATGGGAATCGGGGGAAAAGCTCACAGCTGATTGAAGTCATACCAAACACATATGAAGATGGTTGTGGTTTTTGGAAGTCAGTAATCTCAGCTCCAGGACATCTCTGCAGGAGTTACTCAGGTCTACAAGCCTAGGCCCAACAATTTTTAGCTGCTTCATCAATGACCTTCCCTCCATCATAAGGTTAGAAGTGGGGATATTCACCGATGATTGCCCAATGTTCAGTACTGTTCACAACTCCTCCAATGTTGAAATAATCCATGTTCAAATGCAGCAAGACCTGAACAATATCCAGAATTGGGCTGACAAGTGACAAGTGACAAATGTGCCACTCAAGAATGAGGCAATGATTATTTTTAATCAAGAGAAAATCTAACCATCAATTCTTGACATTTAATGGCATTACCATCACTGAATTCTCCATGATTAACATTCTGGGAGTTACCTGAAATTGAACTGGACTAACTATATAAATATTTTGGCTACTAGAGCAGACCAGAAGCTAGGAATCCTTCAGTGAGTAACTCACCTCCTGATGCCCAAGTCATAGGTCAGAATGGAATACTTCTCATTTGTCTGGATGGGTGCAGCTCCAGCAACACTCAAGAAGCTTGACAACATCAAGGATAATGCAGTCCAATGATTGACACATCTACAAACATTCACACCCTCCACCACTGATGTTCAGTGAATATCATGTTGCAGCTGTGCAGGGTGGTTGCGAGGCCACTTTTGGAATACTGTGTGCAGTTCTGGTCACCCTGCTATTGGAAGGATATTATTAAATTGAAGAGGTTTCAGAAAAGATTTATAAGGATGTTGCTGGGACTGGATCATTTGATTTATAAGGATAGTCTGGATAGGCTGGGACTTTTTTCAGTAGAGCGTACCAGGTTGAAAGGTGACCTTATAGAGGTTTATAAAATCATGAGAAGCATAGATAAGGTAAACAGCAGAGGTGTTTCCCCTAGGGTTGGGGAGTTCAAAACTAGAGGGCATATTTTTAAGTTGAGAGGAGAAAGATTTAAAAGGGACTTGATGGGCAACTTATTCACACAGAGAGTGGTTCATATGTGGAATGAACTGCCAGAGGAAGTTGTAGATGCAAGTACAGTCACAACAGTTAAAAGACTTTTGGACAGGTGCATGAATAGGAAAGGTTTACAGGCATATGGGCCAAATGCTGGCAAGTGAGGCTAGGTCAGATTAGGATATCTGGTCAGTGCAGACGAGTTGGACTGAAGGTCTGTTTTCATGCTGTATGATTCTATTTACCAGATACACTGGAGAAATTTTCCAAAGCTCTTTCGACATCACCTTCAAAACCCTATCTGTCTATAAACACAAAGGCAGCAGATGCATGGGAACACAGCCACCTTCAAGATCCCTGCAAAGCCACTCACCATCCTGATTTGGAAATATGTTGTCATTCCTTCAATGTTGCTGGTTCAAAATCCTGGAAATCCCTCCCCAAAGGCATTGTGGGTCAAACCACAGCATGGGGCCTGTAGTGGTTCAAGAATGCAGTACATCACCACCTTCTCAAAGGCAACTAGGGACTGGCATTAAATGCTGGTTTATCCATAATGCCCACATCCTATGAAAGAATACAGAAAATGACACATACAGAATATCAAATTTAAAAGGGAAGAACAGTTTGGACTGCATGAGAAAAGTGCTGAAAACTGCATGAATGGGTGCTGAACATTGTGCAATCATTGGCAAACATCCCCACTTCTGACCTTATGATGGAAGGAAGGTCATTGATGAAGCAGCTGAAGATGGTTGGGCCTAGGACACCACCTTCAGGTACTCCTGCAGGAACTAATTACAAACATGGCTTGAAGTTTGGTTAAACTAGTCCCTTGCTTTGTTGGAATTTCATTGATTAACAACTTCCCATTGAAGTGATTTTAAAAAAGCAAAATTCACAACTCTTCATTTAATTTTCTTCTTTGCAATGTTACAGGAACACAATGGAAGGCACACAGTGGTTTCAAGGAGGACAGTGATCCCCAGTGTAGGCAAGGTTAGTGATCCTCAGTGCGGGCAGGACTAGTGATCCTTTAGGCATTTGTGATGGGCAGTTTTAGCTTTCCTGGGTGTTTCAAAATTCAGTGTAAGGACACGAAGATTACAACAAAAGGCACTTTCAATGGGAAATTAAACAGTCTAGATGCTAATACACAATATAAATTAACTCAGTTCCTCCATTATGAAAAATCAATACACTGTTTTGATCAGAGGTCAGTAACATCATACATGTATTGGAGATCCCATTCCATTCCATTGGTTTAGTTCGATACAGCTTTGGTCCAGTTTCTTTTGTATATCATCACTATGAGTTAGCAGTCTAACGTTGCTGTTGTAAGGCTACTCATCCTCTCAACTTCAGCAAACAACCAATGCTTTAAGTCAAAGATTGCTCATGAATAATTGTGCAAAGCCATTGCTACCATGGCTTGTTCTAATTGTTCGTTTGAATCAGAAGTCAAAAAAGCAAAAGTTACCAAAGTGTCAGATCTGAGACTGTGTGGAGCTCATGAAATGCTGACAGCTGCATGTTTTATGTATTCTGGATGTGACAAAAGTAAACCTGTGCACAACGTGATTTTGGATATCTTTTGTGGGTCCCATTTGTGCAATACACATTGAGGATGCTGTTCACAACCGGTCTGATTGGCAGGTTGCAAGTTCCTTCATGGATCCTATATGAAATGAGATGGGGACAATTGCTATGTAGTTCTTGGTGACTAAGGTTCTTGAGTAGATTTGTAGCTCGGGTTGTGGATGCTGTGGTTGGTTTGCTCGCCGAGCTGGTTCATTAGTTCGCAGACGTTTCATTACGTGCAGCCTCCGATGAAATGCTGTTGTGTTTTCCCGCCTGGTATTTAAACTCTGGGGTTCGCTGGAGTTAATTACTTCATTTCCAGTTTTCCTTTGCAGTGGTGTACATATAGGGTCTAATTCTACGTGTTTATTGATAGCCTTCTTGGTGGAGAACCAGGCCTCTAGAAATTCCTGTGCTTGTCTCTGTTTGGCCTGTCCTGGGATTTTGATGTTGTCCCAATTGAATTGGTGGTTCTCCTTGTCCATGTGAATGGAAACGAGTGAGTATTGGTTGTGTCTTTTTGTTGCTAGGGAAGAAGAAAAGAACGAACAGTTCCCATTCCTGATAGAATGCAGGGCCAATGGGGAATTTCTGATGAAGGTACACAGAAAGGCCACACACATGGATCAAGTCCTGAATTTCAATAGTAGCCACCCCAACACACACAAATGAAGTTGTGTGAAAACACTATTTAAACGAGCGACAACACACTGCAGCAACCTGGAACTACCCCAAAACGAAGAAGAATATCTCTACCAAGTGTTTAGAGACAACGGATACCCGAACAGCCGGGTCCGATGATGCCTATCACACAAACAACAGGAAGTACGCCGTGACACAAACGTCACGTTACCATACATCAAGAACATATCCAAACTGACCACAAGACTCCTACGACCATTAGGCATCAGAGTGGCACATAAGCCAACGTTAACCCTACGCCAACTGCTTACTCAAACCAAAGACCCCTTAGCCATTGTGGACAGAACCAACGTGATGTACAAGATTCCACGCAAGGACTGTGACAAACATTACATTGGACAGACAGAAAGGAAACTGGGTAAAGAATACATGAACACCAACTAGCAACAAAAAGACATGACCAATACATACTCGTCTCCATTCACACGGATAAGGAGAACCACCAGTTCAATTGGGACAACATCAAGATCTTAGGACAGGCCAAATAGAGACAAGCACGGGAATTTCTAGAAGCCAGGTTCTCCACCAAGAAGACCATCAATAAACACGTAGAATCAGACCCTCTGTATACACCACTGCGAAGAAAAAACGGAAATGAGGTAATCAACTCCAATGGACCCCAGAGTTTAAATACCAGACGGGAAAACACAACAGCGCTTCATCGGAGGCTGCACTGATGATGTTACTCAGCAGAGTAATGAAACGTCTGCAGAACAACGAACCAGCTCGGCGAGTGAACCAGTTCGAGTGAACGAGTTCTTGGTGAGTTTGAGCACTGACTTGGCAATCCCATTAAAAGCAGCAACAGTTAGAAAATGTACAAAATATTAAAATATCACCTTAGTATTCTTCTGAATATGAAACTGAGACACATTTTCAGGATGTGTAGAGGAACTTTACTCGTTTTAACCGGTGTACTTAATATTTTATTTAGATTTTTAATCTACACCTAGTATGTGCTTTTGATCACTGGCAATGTTTGATGAGACAGTGCAGAAAGATCAGACCCAGGAGTGCTTGATGTGTGCTTGATGTGAACACTGGGTGTTTAATTTAGAAAGTGTACCACACTACACCAACATCCCTCAAATTGGTGGGCACAAACAAATGGAAAGGTTTTTATAAAGGTAGGCTGTTCAGCAGAGAGCTGGAAGGCAGTGGGAAGCTGCAAAGTGGGCTTTGTATTCAAAGGAGTCACGGAAAAGAGAAAATACAACAATTATTGTGTTCATTTTACATTGGAATTATAAAATTAGTAATGTGAGGCTGCACAGTGGGAGAAACAGGAATCTGGACCAAGCAGCGAGGGTGAAGGAATTAAGTGGCCAGAGCAAGGCTTCAAAATGGACCTGAATGTGCTGGGACTGATCAACAGATAAACGCAAGGTGATGGTTTATAATTTAGTCCCTGTTTTGTTTCTGATGTTGCTCCAAGACCAGTATATGGACCAGTCTATCCACATGATAATATTCTTCCATATGGCCCACCATTGCCATTGGTGTCGCTTCTTCATTACCACAGGATGAGAACAGTGGCCAGGCTTGGGCCCCTGTCGGAGTTCTGTAGCAATCACTCATTCCATCAAATTGTTGCTGAGGCAGATGAAGTGAGAAAAGTATCAGTAGGAAGGAGTGGAATTTTACTCAGATGGTTCCAGTGTAGTTTGAGGAAAAACGGATTTTCTCCCTGACCTGTGGATGGAAACACTCTCTTCTTGGTCACCCCTGGAAACTCAACAGACAGGTTTGCCTGTCTGGCTCAACGTTGATGGAGACCATTCACTCCCCTTGTTCCTACTGGAGGCTTCGCCCCATGACATAGACACTCAGTATCTGTAGCGGTTGCCTCAGATTTTCTCACGGTAGTCAGGATAGGCTAGTTTCTTGAGCTCGTCCCAGAACAGCAGACTGAAAACAGTGTGTGGGCCCAAGCGAAAGTAGGCAGGTCCAATTCCCTTGTATAGGCCCAGGGCTCCCTCCTTACATGAGACCTTCAGCAAGCAATCCCAGAATCCTCCGTAAAGCCTACCCTGCAAGAAATAAAAGTGTTTCAAATCAGGCAGATCTTCTTAAAGGGGCACCACGTCACTTTATCAACACAAAGTGCTCAATGAACAGCATCATCTAAACAAAATGGGGCAAGTTTTGACATTTTTGGACAGATGATTGATAGAACACTCTGACTGGCTATCCCTTCCTGTGACAAAGGTAATCTATGACCTTATTTAAATTCGTGCCCCAAAGAGGTGGTCCAAAACAGCACACCTGGTGACACCTCAGAATTCAGCAATAGCATTTGCCAGTAAGGTAGGTTAAATACTCACTTACAGAGGATCTCTCCAGTCCCATCAGGAGCAATGTGCAGGCTCCAAACAGTTCCTACCTATAATGGCAATAGAAGCAGGAAGGCTACCAACCTGATTATGAGGCCTTTGCTGCCTTGTTAACATTATACCAGAAAGACTACTTACAATCAAACTCAAAGCTCCAGCATTGGATAAATGGCTAAAACAAAAACAAGAGAAACTGTGGATGCTATAAATCAGAAACACAGAAAGAAATTGCTGGAAAATCTCAGCAGGTCTGGAAGTATCTGTGGAGTAAAATCAGAGATAACGTTGAAGGGTCACTCAATCAGAAACCTTAGCTCTAATTTCTCTCAACAAATGCTGCCAGACCTGTTAAGCTTGTCCAGCAATTTCTTTTCTTGTTTGTGATTGGATAAGTGGCTGTTTGGTTGAAAAATCAACCATTCATTTTAAAACTGAATGGAATTTTATAAACCATGGCTGAAGTTTAGGGTAATGCTACCTAAACTGTTTAACCTGACCTGTGCTATGGTTTTACAGGCAGAGCTAGTCTCTCTGATCTTTTGTCCAAATCATCATTCATCATGGATTAGTGAATCCCTGTAAAACTGTCTTTACTAATCTTACTCAAAATTCACAAGCAGCAAAGGTGCTACGGTGTGATCAAAGTTAGAACCCTGTTTGAATTTATTCCCCTCTCTAGCCTTCAGCAAACCCTGCATAGACTAGGTGTTAAGACTTGGAAGGTCTGTAACCACTTTGGGAGCTGACTTACCCAAATCAGCCATTCGGGCACCGAAACAGACATATTTGGGAGTCTCTTTGAGCTGTCTGCATTCCCTTTCACAGGACTATTGAGGGATTTTCTGTGTAACTACCTTTATCGAATGTCATTTGGAGAGGCAGGACTGCAGCTCAATATTCCATTTGTCTGATCCTTTCCAATTGGCTGTGAGGAGGCTGCGAAGCCTGAAGTAGGACATAATGGGTAACCAGTGGTAGGAGTGGAGGCATGGGGTAGGGAACGGTAACCTGTTGAACGCTCCTGGAATTTTTCCAAACAGCATTCACAACCTAAATGTCCTGTATATGCATGGCCAGAGCAAACAGACTGACAATATACACCCCGCCTCCCAAAAAAAATCACTGAAGTTCACAGATTGTGGTTTTGTTGGGTGTGGATTTCAAGATACCTCTGGAATTCTTGCTTGCCTAGTTCTCCCTGTAATGGTGTGATGCTGGCAGGGGAAAGAACAATAAGTTGCACACGTCACACCGTGGGCACTGGGTGTGTAATTTGATGACAGGAAGAGGACATACCTTGCCAACCTCATCGACTGGTTGGTTGTAGAGTCTCGTACTGATGACGTCAAAAGGAGTCATAGTGATCACCACGGCAATGCTGCTCATCATTCCTCCTGCCAAACCGACCATCCAGCTATCATTGCTAAACCACTGAATGTATTAATAAAATCACAAAATAAACACGCATTAAAGCTCATAAATTCCTCTTTACCCAATCCAATTTTTAAATGGATCTGATAGCTAATTAATACCTGGTGCTCCACCAAGGAATGAATTAAAGAACTTAGGATTCAATATTGTAGGTGCACACTTTAACCACAACAATTTGTTTTTTGGCTCTGTTTAAGATTTCTGGTTCCCTTAATAGCTTGAAAACTTCAATAAATTACTACTTACCCATTCTAGATTCCAAGAAATACAACCCTGGTTTGTATGATCTCTCGCCATAATTTAGTCCTTGGAGCCTAGGCAGTAAGCCTACACCACACTCCTTCCAAAGCTAATATATCCTTCCCAAGGTGTGGTGCTCAGAACTGAACATAGTACTCCAGATTTCGTCTAAGCAGAACTTTACTTAGCTTTAGCAAACTTCCACCTCACTGTATTCTAGTCCTCTAAGTAGTCCTCCAGTATTCTATGATTATGTTCTGAGTATTTTCTGGACGTCTGTGTGCTACTTTAACAATCTTTGAACATGGACACCACCTCGCCCAACTTCATGCCCCATCCCCTAGCTTTGAAAATCCATTGTTCCTAGCTTTTTGACGCATAGGATTTGCTTTAATTATTGGTACCTTCTTGTAATTTAATACTTGCAGCTACATTGTTTACCAGTTCTCATTTGGATGAATTGAAGTTTATGAAGGTTGGAAGATGTGAGGCTGGCCAGGACAGCATTAAGCAGAGGATTCAAGTTTGGAGATAATTGACACATATATGACAGCTTCAGTCCCACATGGGCTGAGGTTGGATCGAGACAGAAGGTAATGGAAGTAGGCTGTCTTTAGGAGAATGCATGGTTGGAAATTCAGACCAGGTTGAACATGAATGTCAAATAATCTGATTCAGTCTTTCCATTAAATTTATTCTTAACCTCATAGAATCATAGGACAGATCTTATCGGCCTCAGCAGGTTGAAAATGTTGAGGGTGGAGGGGTCTGTAAAACTGTGGTGAGCCTTGGTAGCTCGACTCCCCAACCATGTTCAGCAAACAAGTCATTTTACTGGCAGCCAGTTCAGAATCTGGCCTGAGGAGTCAGGCTGCCAAATGAAATACGCAAAGGCTATTTTACTAGTAATTTGCCAAGACTGGGACGGGGGAAGCTGATAGCCACATGGGCACCTTTTGAAATGGACCCTTGGCTGATATTTTCTCCTGAGTCCAGGTCACCGAAACCACTCATACAGCCTCTGCCACCACCTCAACCACAAACAGGGAATAAACCTCAGATAAAGTTAGTAAACCATTGGGGAGTGTGTTTGGAGCACGAAGCACTGAACAAAGAAATCCTTTGGATCACTGAACTATCTCCAACAGCGCCAAGGAGGTCGGTCATTTCAGGGACTCTCCTGAGGTCTGATGAGCAGCTGCACTGTGATCCTGTCAGCTTGCTAGGAAGTTGTGGAGCCTGGTACAATTACAACATTTAAAAGGCATCTGGATGGGTATATGAATAGGAAGGGTTTAGAGGGATATGGGCCAAATGCTGGCAAATGGGTCTAGATTAATTTAGGATATTTGGTTGGCATGGACAAATAGACCAAAGGGTCTGATTCTATGCTGTACAGCTCTATGATTCTATTACTGTAAATCACCAATACAGGTGCCAAAGGCGGTTTGTATTAAAGACTGCAGTTATCAATCATTGTCCTTCTCTGTGACCTGTAAAAACCCCAACTTGATATACACTTACCTGCTGATCCTTGACTAATTGCTTAGCAGAGTCAAATGTGGCAAGCTGTGCTGCAGATCCAACCATCACCCTTGGCACAGCAGCACTGACCCCTCGCCACAGGCCCAGAATTCCTTGTTGTCTGTAAATTGTCAAGAAGGCAGTCGTGACTCCCTGGGATTGAAAATACAACAAGGTCATGTTCATCTCACACAGAGAGCTTCATGGAATTAAATAAATATTTGGAATTACCTGGCACAGTCATGTTAGAGGATGTCACGCAGGGTCAGTAACAATTAAAGAGGAGGGGACCAGACAAGATGGTGGAAGGGATCATTTAAATGGGGCATGGGGCATGCGGGAAATGGGTTACAAGACAATGTGTTTCAAAAACAGTGCTCCAAAGAGCTAAGGTACACTGACTGAGAGATCAGTCTCTGATAGAGGAGCAGAGGCTCTGTGCGTATGCGTGCGTGTGTTGGTGGGGGGGAGGTGGCAACGGCTGTGATCCTAGAGGCAGATCTGTCAGAAATGTGGCGGGGGAGATGCAGTGTTCCAGTTGGAGCAGCAGACAGTGGGAAGAGCAGTGATGCAGTTGGACGAGCAGAGAGACAGTGGGAAGAGCAGTGATCCTGTCAGAGGAGAAGGGAGTCAGCAGGAAGAGCAGTGATCCAGCCACAGAGCAGATATCCAGGATTACAGGTGTAAAAGTTATGGGACATGTTCCTGATGTAAGGAGAAACATGACCCTGGGATTTGAAAAGAAAACAGGTCTGGAAGTAAATGCTCATGAGGGCAGGCAGGAGGCACCAGGGGAATGGTTTTGAAAGCATTGATTATTGATGTGAGTCATGACTGGTTTGTTGCTATACGCAATTTAGTTGTAAGTTCTAGTTTAACATATTTATGTATACTTGTAGCAAACCAGGACTGATTTTAGAGTGATGTAAAGCTATGTTCAATTCCCTGGTTTCTCCCTGGGTCAATAGACGATTGTAAGGAAAACAAGCTGCAAAGCCATAGTGGTCTGCTTGGGATTTAACATTAGGGTGGGAAATATAAATTCTGCTGTCCTGGAGTTAATGCAGTTCTGGCCTTCCCCACCAAGAATCAGTAAAACATTTACAGCTACAGAAACAATGGGAACATCAGCCATGGTTAATAACTGACTACATCGACATTGCAAGATCATTAATGACCTTTACTGCGGGGAAACACTGACTGGCTCCAACACAACAACAAGCTATCAGTAACAGCAGGAGCACAGAGTCAGCACATTAAGATCTTTTAGCACCGATTACTGACCTAATGTAATAAACTTTCACCAGAGACTCAGATAGTGCCAGGCTGTGCCCAATTCTGTTCTGTTGGCATTATTCCAAACTTTTTAGATTCTCAGGTTTGGTCCAAATGGATTCCAGGGGTTTAATCCTCATTCTTTAAAACACTAAAGGCTGAGATTCCTAGGCAGTACTGAGAGTTGTGCTGCATTGCAGAAAGTACTGTAGTTTAATGTGACTGAACTCAGACTTCACTGTCTTAGAGGTTCAGAGCACTATGTAAAATACAACACATAGTTCACCCATTGTCCTGGGCAACTCTTCCTCTAATAACAAGACGGGAAAGAAATTGGGTCATTCACCTCACTGCTGCTGGTGTAGTTTTACCATAAGCACAGTTTCTGCCCTGTTTGCTACATAACAGTGACAGCCACACATTCAAGGAATGTAAAGAGATTTGATTCATTTTGCTGCATAAATACAAGCCTTTCTTTCAAAGTAGTGTGTACCTGATGATTATGCTGGTGTCCCACTGCAATGACAGCTGCTGACTGGGCCTGAAGGTGAGTCTTTACCTGAGAGTAAGCAAAGCACAAAACAGTCACATCTCACTTGGACCAGGCAGAAGAGAAATTGAGAACCAGCTCTTAAGAAATTCCAAATAATTACTGAAGTATTTGTATTCCACCACATATAGATTTATTATACCCATGAAATGTAAAATACTTAGTGAAGGACTAACACAGTCCCACAACCACATAATCTTTTAGATATGCATTTGACGGCATCATATTTATTATTTTACAAGCAATGTTCAGAAAATTGTAATTACCATTGGGATCATCTGATGCCACAAAACCAGACCCACAAGCACAATGAACATCCCACTGGGATTTGTGTGTTTATGAGAATTAACTCAAAGATGGTCCAGCTGTGGGCTCCCCCTCCATTGGTGAGAAGCCCTTTCATCAGCAAGTTGAGGGAGTGGGCAATTGCATGGCAAGATAAATGTGAGATTATCCAAAATCAAATATCTGAATGGTGATAGCTTGTAAAAGGGGGACGTCTCATGACACGTGGGAGCCCTTGTACACCAGTCAAGCATTGAAAGTAAGCATTGCAGGTATAGCAGGCGGTGAAGAAGGCAATTGGATGATGGCCTTCGTAGTGACAGTATTCGAGTACAGGAGCAGGGATATCTTGATGCAATTGTACAGGATCTTGGTGAGACCACACTTGGAGTATTGTGTGCAATTTTGGTCTCCTTATCTTAAGAAGAATGTTCTGGCTATGGAGGGAGTGCAATGAAGATTTACCAGACAGATTCCTGGAATGGCAGCACTGATGTATGAAGACAGACTGGACCAATTAGGGCTACATTCACTGGAGTTTAGAAGAATGGGGAGGAACCTCATGGAAACAAAGAACATAGAACAGTACAGCACAGGAACAGGCCCTTCAGCCCACAATGTTGTGCCAAATATGACACTAAATTAAACTAATCCCTTCTGCCTGCCCTTGGTCCATATCCCTCCATTCCTTGCATATTCATGTGCTTATCTAAAAGTCTCTTAAACGCCCCTAACATATCTGCCTCCATCACTATCCCTGGCAGCTCTGCCAGACTCCAACCACCTTCTGTGTAAAAAACTTGCCTCTCAAATCTCCTTTGAACTTTCCCCCTCTCATCTTAAATGCATGCCCCTAGTATTAGACATTTCAAATCTGGGAAAAAGATTCTGACTGTCAACCCTATCTATGCATCTCATAATTTTATAGACTTCTATCAAGTCTCCCCTCAGCCTCCGCCGCTTCAAAGAAAACAACCCAAGTTTTTCTAGCCTCTCCTTGTAGCTCATACCCTCTATTCCAGGCAGTGTTCTGGTAAACTTCTTCTGCACGCTCTCCAAAGCCTCCGCATCCTTCCTGTAATGTGGTGACCAGAATTTGACACAATACTCTAAGGGTGGCCTGACCAAAGTCTTATGAAGCTGCAACATAACATCTTGACTCTTGTACTCAATTCCCCGACCAATAAAGGCAAGCATGCCATATACTTTCTTTACCACCCTATCTACTTATGTCGCCACTTTCATGGAGCTATGGGCTTGAACCCCAAGATCCCTCTCTACATCAATGCTGTTCAGGGTCCTGCATTAACTGTATACTTTTCCTTAACATTTGATCTCCCAAAGTGCAGCACCTCACACTTACCAGATTAAACATCATCTGCCATTTCTCTGCCCATATCTGCAATTGATCTATATCCCACAATATCCTTTGACAACCTTCTACACTATCAACAATTTCACCAATCTTTGTATCGTCTGCAAACTTACTAACCCACCCATCTACATTTTCATCCAAGTCATTTATATATATCACAAACAGCAGCGGTCCCAGCATGGATCCCTGTGGAACATCACTCGTCATGGACCTCCAGCCTGAAAAACACCCTTCCGCCACTACACTCTGCCTTCAATGGGCGAGCCAATTCTGAACCCATGCGACCAAGTCACCATGAATCCCATGCATCTTAATCTTCTAGATGAGCCTACCATGAGGGACCTTGTTGAAACCCTTACTAAAATCCATGTAGACAACATCCATTGTTCTACCCTCATCAATCACCTTTGTCACCTCCTTAAAAAATTTGATCAAGTTGGTAAGACATGACCCGCTCTGCACAAAACCATATTGATTGTCAGTAATTAGGCCATGCTTTTCTAAATTAGCATTAATCCTATCCCTCAGAATTCTCTCCAATAGCTTCCCAACCACCGATGTGAGACTCACCGGTCTATAGTTTCCTGGATTACCCCTATTTCCCTTCTTGAACAGAGGAACAACATTAGCTACTCACCAGTCCTCCGGGACCTCTCCAATGGCCAGCGAGGATACAAAGATCTTGGTCAAGGCCCCTGCAATCTCCTCTCATGCCTCTCTCAATAACCTGAGGTAGATACTATTGGGCCCTGGGGTCTTATCCACCTTAATGCCCTTCAAGAGTCACAACACCACTTCTTTCTTGATCTCAAAATGCCCGAGCATATTAGCATGCTCCATACAAATCTCACTATCCTCCATATCCTTCTCCTGGAGGAATACCAATGCAAAGTACTCATTTAGGATCGCCTCAAAGCGCAAGTTCCCTCCTTTATCCTTGAGTGGTCCTACCTTCTCCCTAGTTATCCTCTTGTTTTTAAAGTATGTATAGAATGCCTTGAGATTTTCTTTAATGCTACTTGTCAACATTTCATGGCCTTATCTTACTCTCCCAATTCCCTGCTTGAGTTCTTCCTGCTTTCTTTATATTCCTCACGGACCCTGTCCGATTTTAGCTTCCGAAACCTTACATACGCTTCTTTTTTCTTTTTGACTAAATTCACAACCTCCCTCATAATCAGAGGGACTTTTACCTTGCTATCCTTGTCTTTCCTCCTTACCGGAACATGCTGGTCCTGAACTCTGATCAGCAGGTCTTTAAACAACTCACACATGTCAAATGTGGACTTGTCTGACAACAGCTCCTCCCAATTAACACTCCCTAGCTCCTGCCTGACACTGACATAATTTGCGCTGCCCTAATTTAGTACCTTTTCGCAAGGTCCTGACTTATCATTACTTATAACTATTTTCAAACTTAAGGAGTTGTGATCACCATTTCCAAAATGCTCTTCCACTGAAAAGTCAGTCACCTGGCCAGGCTCATTAGCCAATACAAGGCCCAGTATGGCCCCCCTCCTCAAGTTGGACTATCCAGGAAATCTATAAAATTCTAACAGGACTAGAAAAGAGAAATGCAGGAAGGATGTTCCCGATGACCAGGGAATCCGGAATCAGGTGTCACAGTCACAGGAATAGGCCAGAGATAGTAGGAACTGCAGATGCTGGAGAATCCGAGACAACAAGGTGCAGAGCTGGATGAACACAGCAGGTCAAGCAGCATCATAGGAGCAGAAAGGCTGACGTTTCGGTCCTAGACCCTTCATCAGAAAATGATGATTCTGATGAAATGATTTGCTGATGAAGGGTCTAGGCCCGAAACGTCAGCCTTTCTGCTCCTATAATGCTGCTTGACCTGCTGTGTTCATCCAGCTCTGCACCTTGTTGTCACAGGAATAGGCCATTTAGGACTGAGGTGAGGAGCTTAACGGAGTTTTTTTGAAGAAGTAATGAAGAGCTTTGACGAAAACAGAGCATTGGCCGTGATCTCTATGGACTTCAGTAAGCAGTTCAACAAGATTACATGTGGTGGACTGGTTAGCAAGGTTAGGTAACATGGAATACAGGGAGATCTAGCCAATTGGATACAGAACTGGCTCAAAGGTAGGAGACAGAGGGTGGTGGTGAAGGGTTGCTTTTCAGACTGAAGGCCTGTGACCAGTGGAGTGCCACAAGGATCAGTGATGGCTCCACTGCTTTTTTTCATTTTTATATATGATTTGGATGTGAACATAGGAGGTATGGTTAATAAGTTTGCAGATAACACCAAAGTTAGTGGTGTAGTGGACAGCGAGGAAGGTTACCTCAGAGTACAACGGGACCTTGATCAGATGGACTGATGGGCCGAGGAGTAGCAGATCGAGTTTAATTTAGATAAATATGAGGTGCTGCATTTTGGAAAGGCAACTCAGTGCACAACTTATATATTTAATGGTAAGGTCCTGGGGAGTGTTGCTGAACAAATAGACCTTGGAGTGCAGGTTCATTGTTCCTTGAAAGTAGAGTCGCAGGTAGACAGGATAGTGAAGAAGGCGTTTGGTTTGCATACCTTTATTGGCCAGTGCATTGAGTATAGGAGTTGGGGTGTCATGTTGCAGCTGTACAGGACATTGGTTAGGCCACTTTTGGAATACAGCATGCAATTCTGGTCTCCTGCTATTGGAAGTATGTTGTGAAACTTGAAAAGGTTCAGAAAAAATTTACAAGGATGTTGCCAAAGTTGGAGGGCTTGATCTACAGGGAGAGGCTGAATAGGCTGGGGCTACATTCCCTGGAGCGTCAGAGGCTGAGGGGTGACCTTGCAGAGGTTTATAAAATCATGAGGGGCATGTTTTGGGTGAATAGCCAAAGCCTTTACCCCAGGGTGGGGGAATCCAAAATTAGACGGCATAGTTTTAAGGTGAGAGGGGAAAGATTTAAAAGGGACCTGAGGGGCGACTTTATGACGCAGAGGGTGGTGCATGAATGGAATGAGCTGCCAGAGGAAGTTGTGGAGGTTGGTACAGTTACAACATTTAAAAGGCATCTGGATGGGTACATGAATAACAAGGGTTTAGAGGGATATGGGAGAAATGCTGGCAAATGAGGCTGGATTAATCTGGCATGGACGAGTTGGACCAAAAAGGTCTGTTTCTATGATGTACAGCTCTATGACTCTATGGCTCTAAATGTGTTTGACCAGAGAGTGGTGTGCTTGTGAAATTCTCTGCCACAGAGGCTAAAACATTGAATGTTCTCAAATAGGAGATAGATATAGTTCTTAGAGTTAAAGGGATCAAAGCGTATGGGGAGAAAGTAGGAACGCGTTACTGAGTTGGACAATGACCATATTGAATAGCAGAGTAGGCTC